CCTCATTTACATGCAGTGGCAGGGCCCTATCACAAAAAGAAGAATTCAGTACTTAATTCTCCCATGGGAGGGGGAGAATCTCCAGGTACAGTCAAAGGCCATTGGTTGAAAGCCAAGCCAAGACATGTTATTAGCATAGAGTGGCTATCTCCAGGAATCCTCAGGTGTCTGCTGAGCAGGCTTCTTATCAGAAAAGGATTGGGCTGGTAATCTTCCCTGAAGGCAATGTGATGCTCCTTAGAGGATCTGGAGTTCCCCAGATCAGGCTAAGAGAGAAACCTGAAAAGGGGAGTCCATCATCCTATACCAAGCTCAGAAGCTCTCTGGCAACACCAGGCTTAGACCTTACAAGCAGAGTCCCACAATCCTGTTCATCGATTTTTGAGAAATGCTCACACAAATTTTCTTAATGGCTGTGCCACTTACAGGCTCACCAGCAGTCGATTAGCGTTCCTCCTGCCTCACATGCTCAACAGCACTTTTTAATCGTTGGTTTTCCAGTGATAGCAGATGACAGCCTTCTGACTGGAGTGAGACAGATGCTCAAGTGTGGTGTGTTCTTTAAGTTACTTTATTGGGTTCTTATATCTACCACCTTTCCAAACCTATTCCACCCTAGTCCCTTCCAACCCCCCAACATTAGGTAGGAGAGAAACAAGGTTATATGGGAAAGGGGACATAGACCTCTTTAGACTTTTTCCTGCTGATTAGGAGCATTGAGTTTCCCAGAGCAAGCTCAGTCTTGGTAGTCAGGCTATCTCCAACTTCTTGTCTCTTTGCTCACAGCCACTTGGCAAACTTCAACAACAACAACCAAGAGCAGCAGCCTCCACAGGCCCTCTAAGGGCTTTCCCATTTATCCCAGAGTTATCTCAAGAGTTCCCAGAATTAAACTATCTGCAGCTGGCAAAGAGACATGCCAAACACAAGACAAACACAGTTGCCTACTGTGGACAATATGAAGCAGCCCCATACCTGACACCTGTGTTGAAAACAAAACGATGTTCCGGTAATATGACTGTGATTTTTAAAGAGCCAAAATTCTCACTGCACTCAAGGTAATTCTAATTTCCATTTCTCTAATGGCTAAGGATATTGAACACTCCTTGAAACATTTATTGGCCATTTATACTTCTTTTGAGAACTGTCCAATTCATTTGCCCATTTATCGGGAGGCAAGGAATTGGTTTCATTGTTTTATACAGTCTGGATACCCATCCTTCACATGAAGTGTAGCAAGCAAAGGTTCCCCCCCCCCCCCCCCCCCGCAATCTGTAGGGTACTCATACTGTTGGTATTTCTGTTGCTGTGCAGAAGCTCTTTGATTTGATGCAATCCTACTGTCAATTCTTGGGGCTAATTTCTGTGCTTCTGAGGTTCTACTCAGATTTTATCATGTGCCTATATCCCATAGCATTTTCCCTCAGCAGGGAAATTCAGTATTTTCGGATTTAATTTCAGGTCTTCAATCATCAGAAACTGATTTTTGTGCAGGATTTGTGCAGTAATTTCCTTTGAATTGAAACATTCCCTCCTTGAGAGGATAAATGAAGCTCATGAAATTCCCGGAGTAAACAGCTTGCAAGTCTCAAGGAGTTCTTAACCCTTATTAAAGATCCACAAGACCTTTCCTCAGGCTTAAGGAAGTCATAAATGTCTGAAGAGGCAGACTCTGACCTGTAGCACTACATACAAATCAGGTAGGGAGCTCCAGGGATGCAGCGTTCACGTCATCACACAGGCTAGGGTGAGATTGCTGTAATCCAGCTGCCGCTCAGTCAGTCATCCATGCCCCTATAAGGAACTCCTCACCCACTATAAGGAAAGAGAGTACAAATCATATCTGCGATAAAGAGTCCATCCTGGGACCCTTGGAATGTGTGGAAGGAGTCAGACGGGGGAGAGGCTAAACAGAGGTAAGTGATAAGAAGAACAAAACTACCGCGGTAGCAGTGGTGCATGCCGCTCAGGGTAGGACTGTTCACCAGAGCATTGAGAGGGGTGGTTCCCAGAGCCCATGGCACTAGAGTGGCACTTTAGTAGCCTTGACGAGCCGCCATTTGGAACATGGATTTTATCAGCCAGGAAAGGTTTTGCTGGACTAAATGACTTAGACTGTCATATAAGTTAGGTAAAGTGCTAATCAACAGTGACTATAGAAGAAAAAAAAAAGAAAGAAAAACAGAGAAAGGGGTCTTTCCATGTCACCTGAAGACAAATGGGCAAAGTTTCTGTTGAACCCGAGTTCCTGCAGGGGAAAAAAAATGATGTAAAAAGAAGTTGTTCCAGGAGAAGGCATAAGAGTTAAAGCAATACAAAGGACTAAACTTGTAAGGGGACAGCTGGCCCCAAGTACATTAAATTGTGTACGTCTCTGTTCTGTAGCGAAAAAAGTACGCTGGGGATAGAAATTGTTTGCCCAGCCTAGAACTTTCCCAGAGGCCAGATGTGGCTGATAGAGAGAGGAAATGGATGTGCCCGCAGCTACAGTTATGGCCAAAAGCTTATCAGACCCACTCAGGCACAGCTGTGACAGGCGAACCCAACTGTCCTCCCTTAGCCCTGACCTAAACTGCTTGAACTGGCCCCACCAAGTCCATGAGTGTGGGGAAATGCATGGAAACCTACATAGAGACTCTCCAGGATAAGAAACCAGACAATTGAGGAAGAGATGAATCTTCATTCTGTATTGGAGCTTGATAATATTGTACCTTAGCTGCTAACTCATGATATCAATTGGTGATTCAGATGAACTGCTGTGGAGTTTTGGAAAGCTTGTTTGCCCTTTGTTAAAAGGTATTTTTGCATGAGTGTGTTTGTTTTTTAATGCTAACCTCTGAGTGTCTGAAAAATTAGAGAAATAGCTACCAAAAAAAAAAGTCAGTAAAAACAATAGTTATTTTGTTCATTTAAAAGGTTTCCTATATTGTTTGGAAAGGTTTTTAAGTGAAAAGCCCATTTTCAATGCTGGGTTACCTCTCCATGAGTGATTGGCCAGGTAGGCCTTAGAGACCTCTAAAGTGATAAATACTATTGTCACTGTGTCATAGCTAGGGCTTCTATTATTGTGTTAAAACACCATAACTAAAAGCAAATTTGGAAGGAAAGGGTTTATTTGGCTTAAAGTTCCATAGCACTATTCATCTTCAAAGGAACTCAGGATAGAAACTCTATCAGGTTGGAACCTGGAGGCAGGAAGAACACAGAGAGGCCATGGAGGAGTGCTGCTTACTGGGTTGCTCATCATGGCTTGCTCAGTCTACCCACAATGGGCTAGACCCTCTCCAATCAATCACTAATTTTTAAAAATGCCTTTCAGACAGATCTTATAGAGGCATTTTTTAAACTAAGGTTCCCTCCTTCTAGATAATTCTAGCTTATGTCAAATCGACATAAAACTAGCCAGTAAGAAAAGCAAACGGGATGGACATTGGAAGAGGGAGAAAACAGGGAACAGAACAGGAGCCTATCACAGAGGGCCTCTGAAAGATTCAACCCAGCAGGGTATCAAAGCAGATGCTGAGACTCATAGCCAAATTTTGGGCAGAGTGCAGGGAACCTGATGAAAGGGAGAGATAGAAAGACCTGGAGGGGACAGGAGCTCCATAAGGAGAGCAACAAAACCATACTTTCATTACCCATTCATAAGTCGATGGGCATCAAGGCTGATTCCGTTTTCTTGCAATTGTGAGTAGAGTAGCAATAAACAAGGATGAGTAAGCATCTCTGGTGAGATATAGAGTCCTTTGGGTATATGTCTAAGAGTGGTAAAACTAGATTTCATAGTAGATGTATCTATGGCTTTTAGAGGACTCTCCACAGTGATTTTCATAGTGGCTCCACCAGTTTACACTCCCACCAACCATGAATAAGGATTCATTTCTCCATTTCCTAGCCAGCATTTGCTCTCATTTGAATTCTTAATTAGAGCCATTCTTATGTAATGTAAGGCATTCTAATTTGCATTTCCCTGATGGCTAAGGATGTTGAACACCTTTTTAAAACATTTATTGGGGTGTAAAGTGAATGAATAAATTAATAAAAGAGAATCCTTTTCCTTTACTGTTATCTTATAGGTATGATAGTTTTGCAGGTAGAGCACTTTCGGTCTATGCAGTGCCTGGAGACTAAAAGACAGTGTTTGATCCCCTGAAATAGGAGTTACAGTTGGTTGTAGGTTCTGGGAATCAAAACCAGATCCTCTGGCAGAGCAGGCAGGTGCTAACCACTGAGCAATCTCTCCAGCACAAGACAAGTTATCTTAATTTTTCATGTTATTTTTGATTTTGTTCTGGAGCTTGCAGCTCAGGTGTCAGACTTAATTTGGCTTAGGTCACCTTTCTTGTTTCAGTGAGTGTTTGCAATGCTCCAGGGGGACTAAGCTGTGGTAAAATTGAGGTAATATTTCCCTCTGTGCTCAGGGTACTCAGCTCTGATTCTCTAATTCTACTCTGAGAGTAACAGTCACTAGTAAGTATAGACCCATTTGTTGCTGGATATTATCTGGTATCCCTCATGTTCTTTTCTTGGTTCCTAAAAACCTGTCTTGCTTCTTGGAATTCCTCTGTGGCTGACCATATCTTCCTGTTCTCTCTCAACTTAGCACCTTCCTGGACCAGCTCTGGGCTTGAATCTGGTTTACTCTCTGTCTGGGTCTCCTGCTCTGGGTCTTGTCTGGCTCTGACTTCAGATCCAGCTTTGCCTCTAACTTTGGATATAAACCCCACAAAAGGAAGACAGTTGATTACTTTATTGCTGTTGGTATTATTAACATACATAATGTGACCGGGGTATAGTAGGCACTTAATAAATGTTTGTGGGATAATTACTTAATTAATAATCAGCAGGCACTGTAGTCATATAATGGAAAACACTGCTAAGTAGGATAAGAAGTAACACTGCTTACTCAGCTCGCACTTCCTCTCTCAGGCTTCCGGAAGCACCAAAATTGAAACAGAATCGGCTAGAACAGTTAGCTCTCCCCTGGGAGACGGATCTGACTGGAGATGGATCAGCACCACCTGTGGATCTGCTTCCTTTGCCTGCAAACCTGTGAGTTCAAACCTTGTTAGAATTCAACTCCTACTTTCCAAAAAAATTTTTTTAGAAATTACACTTGGGGAGGCATTGACATGTCCCTTTGATCTATTTTCAGCAGAACTCCCTGGGCTTCTGTTTATATCGTTCTCAAAATATTGAACTAGAGGAAAAACTTAAGACCCAAACTATCCACTTTATTTCATTAAACCAGTCATCTTTCACTGGAAATTCCAGTTCCTAACTATGCCTTCAATTCTTGTTCCACTCTCCTCCCCAGGATCTATTTTGTTGGTGAGGCTTTCCACCGAACTATTTATTTGACTTAAGTCTTTAATTTTAAGCAACATTTCAATTTGTATTTCCATCTGTTTAATTCTCTCAGCTTAACTGATCTTGTATCCGTAATATGTCTGGGACATAGTAGGCACTAAATAAATGTTTGTTGAATAGTTAATTAATTTATTTATTAATTAATGCTAGTCACTGAAGTCATATAATGGAAAACACTAGCAAGTATAATAAAAACCAGTGCTTCTTTTTACTTTCTTTTTTGTTCATTTCATGAAAATAGAAACTTTTTTTTCATACTATATGTCCTAATTACAATTTCCCTCCCTCAGCTCCTCCCATTTCCTCTCTACCTCCTCTACCCCCGGAATCTACTCCCTTTTCTGTCTCTCATTAGAAAGAAACAGGCTTCTAAAGATAAGAAACAAACATGACAAAATAAAATATAATATGATGAAACAAAAAACATCACACTGAGGCTGGACAATGCAATACAACAGAAGAAAGAGTCCAAGAGAAGACACAAGAACCAGACCCACTCCTTCACACTTAAAAATACTAAGCTGGAAGCTATTATATTTATGCAAAAGACCTGGTGCAGACCCATGTAGACCTTGTGCTTGCTGCTTCAGCCTCTGTGAGCTCATAGTTGCCTCAGAGGGCCTGTTCTCCTGGTGTCCTCCATCACTCTGGCTCTTACACTCTTTCTGCCTCCTTCTCCATAGGATTCCCTGAGCTCTGATGGGTGGGATTTGATGGAGACATCCCATTTAGAACTGTGTGTTTCAAAGACTCTCTCTCCCCACATAATGTCTGGCTGTGGACCTCTGCATCCGGAGTCATTTTATTGATACTTCTTTAGACCAGTATTGTTTGGTTTTACTCCAGGTCTCTGGGCTAACTAGTCTCTGGGTCACCCAAGCAGTATCAGGCAGGGGTCCCATCTGATGGAGCAGGCCTGAGTCCAGTCAGACACTGGTTGGTTACTCTCACACGTTCTATGTCACTGTAGCGTATCTTGCATGTGGGACAGACTGTAGAACAAAGGTTCTGTGTCTGGGTTGATGTTAACTTTCTTTTGATAATATATAGTATAATACATTTGATATTGTATGTAATACTATATGTTTACAGAGTATAATAAGTACTACAGAGTACTCTTCCACACCAGAGACACTAGAACAAAAGGGTAAAGGCTTCATGAAGGCAGCAGCTCAACTGCTCTATGTTTAATAAGTTGTGTGGGTGTTGTCCTTGGCAGTGGGGTCCCACTGTCGGTTTGTGGAGAGCAACTCACTATCTTAGCAATAGCAGGGGGCATTTGGGGATTTCCATGAGACTCCCTTGGCCAACAACTCAATTAAGTGCAAGTCCCGCTACGGGAAGCCTCCTTTGGTGACAAGAGATGGTCAGTTGGGATTCTGTCTCCCCAGTTATTAGGAGACCTCATTAGGATTGCCTTCATATAATTTAGGAAGTTTTCACTGCACTAGGTTTCCGTATCATTCCACAAATGCCCCTCAATTCCTCTACATTTCCTCACTCAACCCTATTTCTTATTCCCTTCCCCACCAGTACTCCCCTTCCATTTCTATCCCAACTGCCCCCAGTCCACCCATAAAATCTATTCTGTTTCTCTCTCCCAGGGAGATTCATGTACCTCCCCAAGTGTTGGGATTACAGGCATGCGCCACCACACATGGCTAATTGTGTTGGATTTTAATGGGGCTTTATTGACTTTGTAGAATGCTTTTGAGAGGATGGTCTTTTTTTTTTTTTTTTTTTTTTTTTTTTTTTTTACTGTTAATCCTACTAATACATGAGCATGGGAGAGCTTGCCATCTTTTGATATTTTCTTCTATTTCTTTCTTGAAAGACTTAAAGTATTTATCATACAAGTCTTTTACTTGCTTGGTTAGAGTTACCACAAGATATTTTATATAATTTTAACCTATTGTGAAAAGTGGAAAAAAAAAAAAACAACCTGGATTTCTTCCTTAGTTTGTTTGTACTGTGCATATAGAGAGCTAATGATTTTTATGAGTTAATTATGTACCCAGCTATGTTGCTGAAAGTGTTTGTCAGTTGTTGTATTTTTCAGGTGGAACTTTTAGGATCAGTTATGCCTACTATCATATCATCTGCAAATAAAGATACTTTAACTTCTTCCTTACCAATTTGTTTCCCCTTGATGGCCTTCAGTTGTCTCGTTGTTCAGGTATGGGAAAAGTGAAGTTCTCTAGTTCTTGATTTTAGTGGAATATGGTTTGAGTTTCTCTCCACTTAATTTGATGTTGGCTATGGGCTTGCTGTAAAACTGCCTTTATTATGTTGAGGTATGTTCCTTGTATTTTTAATCTCTCCAGGACTTTTATCATGAAGAGATGTTGGAGTTTGTCAAGGGTTCTTTATGTATCTAATGAGACGATCATGTGGGTTTTTTTTTTGCATTCTTTTTGTTTATAGGATAAATTACATGTATTGATTATATATATATATATATAGAACTGTCTCTGCACTTCTAGGGTGAAGCCTACTTGATCATGATGGATGACTTTTTTTTATGTGTTCTTCAACTCAGTTTGCATGTATTAAGTATTTTTGCATCTATGTTCATAAGAGGAATTGGTCTGTAAGTTTCTTTCCTTTTTGGGGTCTTTATGTGGTTTGAGTATCAGAGTAACTGTGGCCTCATAGAATAAATTGGGCAGTGTTCTTTCTGTTTCTGTTTTGTAGGATAATTTGAGGAGTATTGACCTTTGCTCTTCTTTGAAAGTCTGATAGACTTCTAGCACTGAGATGATTTATTATTATTATTATTATTATCATTATCATTATCATTATCATTATTTTGGTTCGGAGACTTTTATTGACTGTTCCTAATTCACTGAAGGTTATAGATCTGTTTAAATTGCTTATCTGATCGTGATTTAACTTTGGTAATAATATCCATCAAAAAAATATCATTTAGCTAAGATTTTACAATATAGTAGAGTATAGGTTTTTTTAAGTGCATACTTATATTTCTCTGGATTTCCTGGTGTCTGTTGTTATGTCCTCCTATCATTTCTAATTTTGTTAATTTGGATATTCTCTCTCTGCCTTTTAGTCCATTTGGATAAATGCTTGTCTATCTTTTTTATTTTCCCAAAGAACCAACTTTTTGTTTCATTGATTCTTTGTATTGTTCTCTTTGTTTCTATATTATTTACTTCTGCCCTGAGTTTGACCATTTCTTGCCATCTCCTTGCGTGTGTGATTACTTCTTTTCGTTCTAGGTGTGCTGTTAGGTTGCTAGTATGAGTTGTCTACAGTTTTTTTCCCTTTTAAATGTAGGCACTTAGTGTTATGAAGTTGCCTTTTAGAGCCACTTTCATTGTATCCCATCAGTTTAGGTATATATTCATTTTCATTGAATTCTAGGACGTCTTTGATTTCCTTCTTTATTTCTGTCTTGACATATTTTCCATTCAGTTGAGAGTTCTTCAGTTTCTGTGAGTTTATAAGTTTTCTGTTGTTTCTGTTGTTGATATCCAGCTTTAATCCATGGTGGTCTGATAAGATGCAGGGAGTTATTTAAATTTTCTTCTATTTATTGAGACTTGCTTTGTGTCTGATTAATATGGTCAGTTATGGAGAAAGTTCCATGAGATGCAAAGAAGAAGGTATATTCTTTTGCATTTGGGCGAAATGTTCTATAAATGTCTATTAGGTCCATTTGGTTTATAATGTCTGGTAAGTCTAGCATGTCTCTGATTGGATGATTAGAGTGTAGATTTGAAGTGTCCTAGTGTTTGAGGGTCAATATGTGATTTTTTAGCTGTAGCAGTGTTTATTTTACAAACTTGAGCACCCTTGTGTGGGGGTGGGGCATATATGTTAACAATTGCAATGTCCTCTTGATGGATTTTTTCCTTTGGTGAGTTTTATAGTGTATTTCCCTATCTCTTTTAATTAGCTTTGGTTTGAAGTCTGTTTTGTTAGATATTAAAATGGTTACCTCAGCTTGCTTCTTAGGTTCATTTGCTTGACTTTAACACTTTACTCTGAAGTAATGTCTATCTTTGATGCTGAGATATGTTTCTCAGATGCAGCAGAAGGATGGATTCTGTTTTCACATTCATCTGGTTAGTCTATGTCTTTTTGTTGGAGAATTGAGACCATTGATATTGAGATATATCAGTGACCAATAACTGTTTATTCCTGTTATTTTGTTTATATTGTTGGGTTTGTTATTGTTGTTGGTGGTGGTAGTGGTGGTGTATCTGTGTGTATGTGAAAAAGTATTGCCAAGTATGGTGGTATGCACCTTTAATCCTAGCACTTAGGAGACAGAGGCAGGGGAATTCCAGACCGTACTGGTCTACATAGTGATCCAGACCAGCCCTTCATACAGAGTGAGACACTGTCTTACAAATGGATATATTAGCTCATCTTATTGCTGTTTTCACACTTGTATTTCATGCTTTATTAGGAAGGGTCTTGGCTATGTTGTACAGTTATCCTGGGAAGGACTTTGTTGTTTGTGTGATGATCCAAGTAAGCTAAACAGGCAGAAAAAAAATGGTAGCAGTTTGAACTTGAATACAGGCTATTGGGGTTCTAAAAAGGAAACTAGGGATGAGATATTCACTTTGTCAGGATCCTCAAAATGGGATGCGGGGCCTTGTTTTTAAAGAAGTCAGAAGGACCAGTCACTTAAGTGTACTTATGTTTCCCCTCTT